GCACTGCCATCTTGGCACTTGCATTAAATGCAATCCATCTACTTTGGAAGTGGCCTCGAAATGACCTTAATTCAAGCGGGAAGGTATAAGATTCCCGTATTCCTTTTACTGTCTAAGATGAAAGTCGGTTCCCAATACACAATAAATTTATTCATCTTTTAAAAATTTGAATTCAGTTCCTTAGCAACATATTTGTTTCATCGTCCAGGCAACAACCAAGGCTACCCCTCAACTGGTGCAACCAGCATCTGGCATATTAATGACCAATGATCTCGTGGATGCTAGACCAGAAGAGGCTGTGCCATGTTTTGCTCTGTCGAAGAATGATTCCTATATCATGTCTGCCTCCGGGGGGAAAATTTCCTTGTTCAACACAATGACATTCAAGGTATTTTTTGCAATGAGATAGTAATTCCACTTTTTACCCTTTTTTCTAATTATTCTTTTGCACAAGAAAAAAGGGCCTTGAATTTTTTTTGGTGCTGTTTTGAAAAGCTACCTCCTTTGGGCTGCTATTTACAAAATTTATTGGCAACTGCAGACTATGACAGCATTCATGCCTCCGCCACCTGCAGCGACGTATCTTGCTTTCCATCCTCAAGATAACAATATTGTTGCAGTGGGAATGGACGATTCCACAGTACACATATATAATGTTCGTGTGGATGAGGTAACAATAAGATGTTAGTTGATAGTAAGTTCCTGTGAATTCCAATGGGAAAAAAGAAACTAGGATTTGATCATTTTCTTTCTTGCTGTAGGTCAAGAGCAAGCTTAAGGGTCACTCTAAGAGAATCACTGGTCTTGCCTTCTCTAGTGTGCTGAATACACTTGTTTCCTCTGGCGCAGATTCTCAGGTTGGTATTTCATCTCTTATACCATGACTACACTAACAATTCTACGTGCTCTTGTAATTGTTTCCTGGCATGTTAACTTCCTTAGAATCTGTATTACCTGTTTTTGCTGGGCTTTTGCTTGCTGGAAAGGGATATATTTTCATCTTTTCCCAGCTGCAAGACAGGGTGACAACATCCTAATTGAGAAAATATAGTGGTGTCGAATCACCTCAATGTGCTATCTGCAATATGTATCTTACAGAATACATTAACCATTTTCCAGGTTATCGTGTGGAGCATTGATAGGTGGGAAAGGAAGAAAAATTGTGTCTTGCAGGTTCCAGCTGGAAGGACACCTGCAGCAATGTCAGACACCCAAGTTCAGTTTCACCAAGATCAAGTCCATTTGCTTGTTGCACATGACACTCAGCTTGTCATTTATGAAACAACAAAACTTGAATGCTTAAAACAGGTATTTTAATCTCGACTGTATTATGTTAGAGTGCTCCAGAGTTGTGTTACCCATTTAGTATTGTTCTAGATAAGGTCCTAGCAGCTTAAATACAAGTGTAATTGTTCAAAAAAAAAAAGAAAAAAAATGTTTGTTTAGGGTGCCTTGAAGTTCCACCACAAACATAAGTGGTGGATTTGCTATATCTCAATTTTTTTAGGGACTGAAAGGACCACCTGTAATATCCTGTGGTTGATAGGCAACATGATGGTGATGACAGTTAGTAGTTTTCAAAGGGAACAGTCATGGTTCAGCAGTTCCCTTCTCCCCTACACAGTTTGTTTTTGCTTTTGCTTTTGAAACTGCATTTCAAAAGTGCGATTGGCTTGAAAATGCATCGAATTGATGCTTCTTTTAGTGATTTCCAATGATTTTGATATGCTTATGTCAAAAATGAAAAAAACAATCTGAAAAAATTATTTAATGCATTTTCAAGTGAAAAACACCTTGTATTATAATATCAAACACTCGAATCATTCTCTGTATTTCTTTTCAAACTTTGACCTTATTTGTTAAATTTTCAGTGGACCATTGGAGAGTTTTCAGCACCAATCTCACATGCAACATTCTCGTGTGATAGCCAGTTAGTTTATGCTAGCTTCCTGGATGGAACTCTGCGTGTATTTAGTGCATCAAATCTTCAAGTGAGATGCCAGATTAATCCCAATTCCTATCTTCCATCAGATGTCAGGTACTAGTGATCTTGTTTCTTTACCAAAGTGTTTGTGAAAAATAGTTAAATCTTCACTCAAAAATCTTCACTCGAGAGTCTTTTTAACAGCTTGCATAATTAACCTGAATCATTTTTCTGTTGATCTTATTTCATGATCTCCTTCCACAATAAATTATGCTTCCACTGCTTCTTGTTTAGCATGGCAACTATAGCTGGAATTTTTCCATAGTCAACTTACAACCTCCTGGACTGTGTTCAACACTTCACAACCATTTATATCAACATGCAGCTTGTGGCGTTTGGATATTAGTGGATATGAGCAGATTCTCTTCTTGCATGTCCTAGTTGCGTGATCTAATATACCTCTCTCATTCATTTTCTGCAGTTCTACTGTATATCCTCTAGCAATTGCTGCACATCCCCAAGAACCTAATCAGTTTGCCATAGGCCTAACAGATGGCAGTGTTCAAGTTTTCGAGCCTCTTGAGTCTGACTGCAAATGGGGCGTTCCCCCACCTGCTGAAAATGGGGCATCAGGTAGCATGCCTTCCACTACCGCACCTTCAGTTGTCGCTTTAGATCAACCCCAGAACATGGAGTGAACACATCAACATCTCCGATAACTCGTATAAATCAGTTGAAGGAACTTATATGTAATATGTAGGAAACTTGGTAAGCCTTTAATAGCAAGCTTTCTTTCATGCATCCGTTTCTTATAGAATGAATGAGTGATAGCAGTTCTTTCTAAGCTTACCAAGCCTTTTATAGTCAGCTATGATCTATCTTAACTGCCTTTGGTTAAACCGGACTCCTTTCTCGTCTAGCTTACCAAATTGCTTTCTGGCTGGGGTTAGACAAACAATTGAACCGGCATTGCAAAGCTAGCTTAAGTTAGCAGTTCTTTAAGGGCATTACCCTTGTTGAGGATACAAAACAAAGGAAAGAAAAAAAAATTCTTGCTAAGCCCAGTTCCACAGAAACTAGTGGATGCATTAGTGGTGTAAATCAAACTTGGAAGACTGCATACGAGTAATTTTATTAAACTTGTTATTTAGAGCTTTTTGGTTTTCAATTATTGACTAAAAGAATGGCTCTATGATTTCTCAGGAGTTGACTTTGGATTAATTAATTTTGGAGTCAGAATTTTACCTTGAACAGAAACTATTTTTTGATTGAATAATGGCAGGGATGCTCGTGATTTCTCACTATATGACGTGGTAATTTGTGATGGGTGTACATGTTAATATAACATTAATTATTAAAATCTATCCTAACATGATTTTTTTTTTTTTAAAAAGATAATGATATTTGAAGTATTTGTGCTTTTTTATTCTTTCTATTTTAAAACTTATATTTTTTTATTCTATTTGTCCATGATGATATATTTTTTTAATTTTTTAATTAAGTACTTCTGATTATATTATTTTTGTTATATATTTAAGTAGTTATACTCGATAAATCTATCAATGAAGTAATTTTTTAAGCTTATGTTATCTATATGAAATTATGTCTCCAAAATAACCTTGATTTTACTTTTATCCTTTAAAAGAGAGTCTACAGGTATAGAATTGACGATCCAGTAGCCATTTTAGTATTGGCCTCTATGTGAAACCATTCCAATTCTAGCTCCAAGAACATAGACTCCACCGAAGACTTGGTAGAAGTTAACTTCTGGGTTGGTGAGTCAACGCGATTCATTATAACATTGATTAAATAAAAATATTAAAAATACACAAAAATCATATTTTAGATAAAAATTAATAATTATTGAAATTAATCCGATTCAATTAATAAAATCATGGTTAATTAAATTAAACCAAATCGATTCATCTACTTATTTACTTATTTAAAATTAAACCCGATTCATAAGACATCGAATTAATTCTCGATACGAGTTTGGTAAACACACAAGGACCCAAAATCAAATATATAAAAGACAATTTTTGTTCCCCTTTTCCTTCAAACTTCAAAAAAGTTTTGACCAGAAAATATTGTCCTAGATCCAGCACCAGACAGAGGTCAAAACAAACGAGTCTGATTGTCCTTCATTCTCACTTCCTTTACTTTGTGAATTTTATCAAACTAACCCTTTTACAAATAATTTGTTCAAATCAGCCCTTATGCGTCCAATTTTAGAACATTACTGTTGTTTTTTTTAGAAAATGGTGGTGAATCAGCCCTTATGCGTCCAATTTTAGAATATTAGTGTTGTTTTTTTTAGAAAATGGCGGTGGTGGTTTCTAATCCTAGCTATGTAAATTGGATTTTATATAAGAGTTCTATATATGATTCTTGGTGTTTTTCTGTTTTTTAAACTCTTTTTTTTTCAATTTCTTTGGATCGGTCGATTTAATTAATGTTTTTCCATAACATTAAATATTACTAAATATGTTTTTGTTCAGTTTGACAAGGTAATAAATATGAATTCTTAAAAATTAAAAGGCAATGTTATTTAAAATTATTTAACTATTTTCTATATCTGTATCTTTTTACTCTAATAATTAGCTTTTAAATATCATGGAAGACATTTATTTATTTATTTAGTGTTTTGTAAACAAAGTTATTAAATTTGATTCGATTCAAAATTCTAATTACAAGTTGAGAGTGTTAGTTTGGATTGATACAAAACAACATTATTTTAAGATTTTTTTAAATTAAAAAATAATATTATTTTTAAAAATCAAACTGATTTTTAACTAAGTTAACTATAACATGATATGTCAAATTACACCCAATTTAATTTGAAATCTAGTACAAGTTAGGAATAAATAAGCATGTTATTGAGTTGACTCATAGATCTGATGAGGTTTCATAACATTAGTTTTATGATAGTTTTATAAGAAGGGGCATTTAACCTACAAATTGAAAGTACAATATTTGACTTGACAAATTTATTTATGTAGAGCTTAATTTGATCAAATTGATAAAGTTAAGGGACTTGTGTTGATTTTTAGCCTTCTTACCACATCACCTGACGGTCAAACAATCCATCCTTAATACCCTTTCCATGTATTCTTCACAGCTATAATAAATCTCTTAAAACCCCAACTTAAACCCCAATTCAAAACCCTAATTCTCTCATTTATGTCCCTCTAGCTTCCACTCTAGAGAACACAAATTCTCTAATTTGGGTTTCTTTTTGTCTCTATATTTTTTGTGGTTTTTTTGCAGAAAATGGAGGGTCTTCTCTGCTCAAACACTGTCGTTTGTGAGGGCTTCTCCCCTTTTTTAATGGAAGCTTTAGTACTTGAAACAGCCATTGCTGCTTCAAAGGCACTTGCCTTGTCACTTTTCATGGTATAGTGTCTCTGTTACTTTGCATAATTTGTTTATTACAGCATCATTTTGTGAAAAGTTTGAAGCTTTTTTTGGTTTTTCACATGTTTATAATGTTGTTTTGCTTCTTATGTGTTAATTTTGAGCAAAGTCTGTACTTTGAATATGTGGATCTGTGCTCTACATGTTTTTTTTCTCTTGACTTTGTTTTTTTATGAAGAAAGTTAGGATTATTTTGTGTGTTTTGTTTTTTTATGAAGAAAGTTAGGATTTTTTTTTTTTGTGTGTGTGTTTCTTGCTTGTTTAATTTATTTTTTTCCAGTAAAGTTATGGTGGTTGTGATGTGGGTTTTGATTATTGTGTTTAAAGGACCTTCTTTTTGGATGTGGGGTGTGTTATGCTGCTATTTGAAGGTGCTGTTTTATGCTAGGGTTTGGACTGATTTTTGTCGTTGTTTATTTTGCTTTCTTGATAATTGTCTAGTTAGTGCCTCTTTTGCTCTTCTTCTGTGTATTTGGCTTTTCTGTTTTTTTTTCTCCCTCTTAGCAAATGATGGTATTCGGCTGCTTTGTTTTGTGGATATAAGTTGGATATTGAGCTAGTTTTTTTTGTTTATTGAGCATGTCTCTGTTACAAACTTGTAATGTGAGGTGGTAGGATCTTAAAAGAGAAGTAATTTTTATTTTTTCTGAGGGTCGAGAAATCAGAGAGGTCGAGTTGCAGGCACATTAATAGGAAGATGTACTGTGGTCTGCAACAATTATTTATTCAGAGTGTGGTATGATATTTCTCATTTGATAAAGTTGGTGGGTGAATATTTTCTAGTTCTGATTGGAAATTAAATTACAAATATTGTAACCTTTATCTTTTTCTTCCCCTGCTTCCATTGTGGTGTTCTATCTTGGCCTGGGCATTCCTTTAAATAAGTCTTGTCATGGAGATTTTCTTTTTTCTCCTTAAAAAAACTAAACCACAACTTTGTTCAGCTGGCAAGCTTAATATATATTGGAATAGAATACAAGTGTCAAATTAAACGAATGATAAACAATATTAGAGTGGAAACTCTTTCAAGGTAAATGGAGATTGATGGCCAGAGTGATTCACGCACATTTTTTTAGGATGTTTTGCTCTTTCATGCTTATTCATTGAAATGAATTCAACCTGTTTCTCAGTCAAGGTTGGCTGATTTATTTGCTTAAAGAATTACGTGCTGCATGAGAAAGTTCTTGGGTTCCATTGATTTTTTTTTGGTACTTGTTGGAGAACAAATTGTTTCTTCCAACTGGTCTCTTAATTGAGCAGAAATTTGTCCCTTTTTTCTTTTTACCAGATGGGTTCTTTGCCTAATGGACCCAGTGTCTTGCCAGAAGAGTCAGGCACAAGTCAAGGGTTAGTGATCTGATTTATTTATGGTCTTTATAAGCTGTTGTTTTCGACAAGTTAATAACTAATTTCTTCCTGCAGGTTTCCTTTGAATGAACTTCATCCAAAGAAGAAACCTGATCCTGATAATCAAGATGGCAATGATACTGAGGATGATGAAGGGGATGATGATGATGATGCAAGATGGCAATGATACTGAGGATGATGATGATGACGGCCAAGAAGATCAGGATGATGATGATGATGATGAAGGTGCTGATGAGGATGAGCCTGGCAAAGACAGTGAGGATGGTGGGGATCCAGAGGATGAGCCTGAAGCCAATGGTGATGGTGGCAGTGATGACGATGACGATGAAGATGATGATGATGAAGAAGATGAAGATGACGACGATGACAATGATGAGGAAGAAGATGAGGAGGAGGAGGAGGAAGAGGATATTCCCCAGCCACCAGCTAAGAGGAGGAAATGAGGCTAAAATCATCTTTTTTCATATTTTGTTTTACCTCTTCTTGTTAGGGTGGGAGTTTGGGTTAAATAGGGAGTGTAGACTGGGAGGATTCAGGGTGTCTTATCTGCATCATGGTAAAAAAGATTGTGGTATTTTTGTGGGACGCATCTTGGTATTTCTAATGTTTAGAATTCTGTAGTATTTATTCACAGTTGCATATTTCCCTGTGTTATCCTGAGTTCACCTGTGTTCAAGATAGAATCTTGGGATCCTTCAAGCTACAATTGTCGGTGGATTCATGGTGAATGGTGCTGCCATTGCCATTGTTTCTGCCAAAGATTGAGCCCTGGCAGTGGTGCTGGTACATTGCTAGCTTGGCAGTTATGGCAACGATTTGTTCATTGAGTCTTGTGGAACTTTTCAATTTTTCTGCACTGCAATGTCTTCATAAACATTTTATAAATCAGGCCTAGGTTAAACCGGACAGCTTTCCAGTCATGATTAGATGAACAATGGAACCGGCATTGCCGTAACAAGCACTTTGTGTTTCAACATTTTGAAGGGAAGCTCTTTATGAGTTTTACCCTTGTTGAATAGCAAAACTAAAAGGGAGATTTGATTGCTAAATCTGTCCCCACACAAACTAGCATCTAGATTATTGGCTATTGTTATATTGTGGGTTGGAAAAAAAAAATATTAATATGAAAAATATTCAAGCATTGCTAAAATATTTTATATATTAAATGATAAAATAAAAAAATAAATTAAAAAAGGTGGCCAAAAAAATAACTCGAGTCAGTCCATATTAATTTATTAAACTCACAATCTAAATTATGAGATTCAAATAAATTTATACAAAATAAATAGAAAAAAATATAAATATTATTTGTAACGAATCTAATATTGAAGGTTTATATCGAGAAAAAAAAATTCATGAGACCAATTATATAATTTAATATAAAGAAAATAATTTTTTTTTCTGAGCGTTGATATTTTAAAAAAAACCATGAAACACTATTATACAATTATTTAATCACATCTTTTGATTCCTTAGTATTTTGTTAATAATTAGTTGTGTGATATATTATATAAGTTTATTGTGTGGATATATTTTTTAACGTATGTAACACTATACATAAAATCAATAGCAAAAAAAAATTACTAGAAGCTGGATTAAAGATTGAAGTGTTGTTTTAAAAAATATATTGAAAAAAATTAAATAAATTTTTAGCTTTGAATTATTATTTTTTATTATTTGATGTGCTAATATTAGAAATAAAAAAAATTATTTTAATATATTCATAAATAAATAACAGTTTAAAAAATAATTTTTATCACATTCTAAAACAAACAATAAAATGAAAATATATGGTGCACATCAAACTTTGAAAACTATAAGATATCTGTGTATAAATAATTTATAAAATGATAATACATGTTTTCTTTTATGTAATTACTATTGACAGTTAAATTTATTATGGGAAGTAAAGCCAAGAATACTTGAGTAATTACTAAATAATGTGACAATTTCTGACAGGTGTCCATAAATTAAGCTGTAACACTACACTAATCACGAGAAGCTATCTTATCATGATTTAAAAACATTTTTCAATTTTAAAAACATTTACTCTTTTTTTTTGTTTTACATTTTAAAAGGATTTATAAAATGAGGCAATGCATGATAAGTGTATATAAATTCGATGATAACAATATCAAAGTGACTGTGAAAATCTACCCCACCATGATTTTAAAAACATTTCTTTAATAAAAGTTGTCAAATTAATTAATAATAAAATTCAGTAAAAACCTCTAATTGTTGGATGTTATATTTGAAAATTTACGCAGCAATAAAGTTCTATTTGTTTATGAATTTTAAAAGTATTTTTTTAAAAAAATTAAATTTATTTATTTATTTTAAATTAATATATTTTTAGTTTTTCAAATTATTTTGAAAAGCTAATATCAAAAATATTTTTTTTTAAATAAAAAATATTAACATGTATTTTAATACAAATTATTTAAAAAATAACCATAATCATATTATTGAATAACTACTAAATCATGATTATTTACTCTTAGATTTATAATTCAATTTTTTTATAAAAAAAATCGATACCATTCTAATACATGAGAAATTATTGCATGATAATCTTGGCTGCATGGACTCACAGAATGACGAGTTTCATATGGGGGCGTGACTAGCCTAACAATTTTAGCTTAAAAGCCCCAAAATCGAAATTAAAAAAAAATATATATTTTCTCCTTTTCTCTTAAACTTAAAAAAAAAAAAAAAAAACCCGACCATGCAAAGTCTCAAGAAAATGAACAGTCTTGATTGCCCTATCAATTTACAGTAAAAAACATGCTCAGGTCAAAACCAACGATTCGGACTGTCCTTCATTTTCACTACAGCTAAAAGAACACTGGAAGTCCCTCTACTTTTTTGGTTTGGTCAATTTAACCCTCATACAAATAATTTTATCAAATTGACCCCTATGCTTCCAATTTTGAGATACCATACGCTCTCCAACGACCTCCGTCTGTGATGACAAGTGACGGTGGTTTTTTCTGGAAAATGGCTATGGTGGTTTGTGATTGTAGCTGTGTAAATAGAATTTGATACGAAATTTTTATGTAGAATTCTTTTGGTAATCTTTTCTTTTTCATTCATATATTTTCTCTCTCTGTTGAATTCAACTCTTTGCATTGCTTTCTTCTTGTGTTTCCAAAATAGTAAATATTATAAATATTTTTTTAGTTTGACAAAACAATTAATATTAATTCATAGAAATTGAAAGGATTTTTTTTAAAATTTTTTTGGTTATTTTATTTCAAAAACTAACTTTAAAATACTATAGGAGATATTTATTTGGTCGGCTAAAGTGTTTAGTCAAACTAACAATAGATATGGAAGCAGGGGCCAATGGAACCTGCAAGTGAAATCACAAGGGTTGATTTGAAAACATTGTTTTTATAGGGTGTAATTTGACCGGAGTTATAAAGTAAAGGAACTTCTGGTCAAGTTTGGTCAAACGATCCGTCTTGAGCACACTTTCCATGTATGTTCTTCACAGTTAGTATTATAAATCTTCCAAAACCTTAACTTAAACCCCAATTCATAACCCTAATTTTCATTTCATTGAAATCCCTCTCGCCTGGGTTTCTTTTTCTCTCTATATTTTTGTGTTTTTTTTTGCAGAAAATGGAGGGTCTTCTTCGCTCAAACACTGTCGTTTTGGAGAGCTTCCTCCCTTCTTTAATGGAAGCTGTAGTACTTGAAACAGCCATTGCTGCTTCGAAGGCGCTTGCTTTGTCACTTTTCATGGTATAATGTCTCTGCTACTTTGCATGATTTGTTTATTACAGCTTCAATTTGTCAAAAGTTTGAAGCTTTTTTGGTTTTTCACGTGTTTTTTATTTTTTATTTTTTTGCTTCTTTGTGTGTAAGTTTTGAGAAAAAGACTGTACATTAAATATGTGGATCTGTGCTGTACTGGGTTTTTTTTCTACTTTTTTAATGAAGAAAGTTAGGATTTTGTTATTACCCTTTTTTTCCTTTAGTACAATTGGAGTAGTTATGATGTAGGTTTAGATTATTGTGTTTAAAGGAGCTTCTTTTTGGATGTGGGGTTTGTGTTATGCTACCCTCTAAGGTGCTATTTTTTACTAGGGTTTGGACTGACTTTTTGTTCTTTGTTTATTTTGCTTTCATGGTAATTGTCTAATCGGTCCCTCTTTTGCTCTTCATCTGTGTATTAGGCTTGTTTACTTTTTTCTCTTTAAAGCTGCTTTGTTTTGTTGATGCAAGTTTGATAGTGAGCTAGTCTTTTTGTTTATTGAATGTGTCTCTGTTATGAACTAGTAATGTCAGGTAGGTAGGAGCTTAAAAGAGAAGTGATTTTTATTTTAACTCTGAGGGTCGAGAAAAAAGAGCAACTTTCAGAGTCGGTTATGATAATTTCTCTTCTGATAACGTTGGTGGGTGAAAGATTTGCGAGGTCTGGTAGGAAATTGAATTACAAATATTGTAACCTTTATAACTGAACGGTTTCCCTTTTTCTTCTCTTGGTTCCATCGTGTTGTTCTATCTAGGCCTGGACATCCCCTTTGCACAAGTTTTGGCATGGACCTTTTTCTTTTTTCTTCTTAAAAAACTAAACCACAACTTTGTTAAACTGGCAAGCATAATATGTATTGGAATAGAATGTATACAAGTGTCAAATTAAACGAATGATAAACAGTATTAGAGTCTGAAGCTCATTTAAAGTAAATGGAGACTAACACATGTTTTGAGAATGCTTTGCTCTTCCATGCTTGTCAGTTATCATTGAAATGAAATTCAACCTGTTGCTCAATCATTGCATTTGTTCCTGGTGCTTGTTGGAGAGCAATTTGTTTCTTCCAACTGGTCTCTTAATTGATCTGAAGTTTGTCCTTTGTTTTACCAGATAGTTTCTTTGCCTACTGGATCCAGTGTCTTCCCAGAAGAGTCTGGCACTAGTCAAGGGTTAGTGATCTCATTTATTTGTCCTTGATGGTGTTTATGTGCTCTGTTGTTTTAGATGAATTGATAACTAGTCTTGTCCTGCAGGTTTCCTTTGACTGAGCTTCACACAAAGAAGAAACCTGATCCTGACAATCAAGATGGCAGTGATACCGAGGATGATGAAGAGGATGGCGATGAGGATGGCCAAGATGATCAGGATGATGACGAAGAAGGTGATGATGAGGATGAGACTGGTAAAGACGGTAAGGATGGTGACGATCCAGAGGGTGAGCCTGAGGCCAATGGGGATGGTGGCAGCGATGACGATGATGAGGAAGATGGTGATGATGAGGAAGATGACGATGAGGAAGATGAGGAAGATGATGAGGAAGATGAAGATGCTGATGACGACGACGAGGAAGATGAGGAAGATATTCCCCAGCCACCAGCTAAGAGGAGGAAATGACTAAAATCATCATCCCATTTGTTCTTATTTTGTTTTATGCTTTCTTGTTAGATTGGGAGTTTAGGTTAATGGGAGTGTAGCCTGGGAGGATTCGGGGTGTCTTATCTGCATCATGGTAAAAAGGATTGTGGTAATTGTGTGGACACATCTTGGTATTTCTGATGTTAAGAATTCCGTGGTATTTATTCGCAGTTGCACATTTCCATGTGTTATACCGTGTTCACCTATGTTAAAGAGTAGAATCTTGGATCCTGCAGGCTACAATTATATGTGGATTCGTTGGGCAGTGGTGCTACCGTTGCCACTTTTGCTACCAAAGATTTAACCCTGGCAGTGGTGCTAAGCTTGTTAGCAGTGCCCATATAATTTATGGAAATCATTGTTCATTGAATCTTGTGGAACTCTTCAATTATTCTCCTTTGTAGTGTCTCTATCATCGAATTGCTGGGGACATTTTAATCCATCGCAGGAAGCCAAACATACCAGTATCAATAAGTTCAAATAATTGATGATGGGATCTTTCAAAACAAAAGGGTTTGACAAGGCCTTAGATGCTTCAATATTCAAAGACATGTTAAAATAACATTCCTCGAGCCAGTACTAAATACAGCTACTAAACCACAGGCTTTCAAATGAAACAAAGAAAAAGGCATCCAAGCTCTCAAAGCCAGTCCTCAAGAACATGCAATTTCAGAGTAAATTGGCATGAAAGGATATTGAGTATCCCAAGAGTAGGTGAAATTGAATGTCTGATACCCGTACACAGGCTGCTCATGGTTAATCTGGCATCCATCATCCCCTATTGCCAAGATGGAAGAGTCAATTTCTTCAACGGTTTGGAACCCATCACAGGCCACTTTGATATTGACTTGAGTGCATGCACAATCATTTACGATGGTTACTTTCCATTGCGGCTTGTTTTGCACTAGCACTCCTGTTTGAGACTGGAAAATTTTGATGTCGGTAATAGGATGGCACTGGCAACGGCCTGCAATGAATAAAATTAGGCAAGATTTTTAAAATAATGAACTCTGGATTCTCCTCTCCCTCGATAGATCTCGGAAAACTCGAGCCTAAAAAATATGAAGCTATGACTATATATCATCACATGATTCTTGGAAGCAAATTGTTCTCATAACCTCTTAAAATCTTGATGAATTGGGATCAAGGTTAGAAGTTCAAACCCCTGCTACAAATAGCAAAGCATTGTCCATATATTAAAAAGTAAAAAGAAAATCGAGGAAGCCTCCTACATGTTTTCACTACATGTTACAGTAATCTTTTAGGATAAAAAACATGGTAAGAGCAAATTAAAGAAATGCATGACGAGTTTACTAAAGTTGACCAATGTGCATGGTTGATCATTTGAAGTATTAAAAATGCAACATGCACATTTACCTTGGCTAATGAGACTGAGGAAGAAGACTGCACACGGAAAATTGAGGAAGCCTGCCATTGCAGCGTGATAGAATACCAGTTACCAAGCTTGTGTTTGCCTGGTTATATACTTCAACAAGAACTTTCACAGGAAGTGCCAGTCATGTCCTAATTATCATGGACGTGGTGAAGAAAGTGTGCACCCTTCTTGGACTTTTTTTTGCCTCACGCAGTGCCACGTTCTTCACAGTTACATTTCTTCATTTTGAGTTTCTGTTCTTGGTATAAACAGTCCAAATACAGTTATGAGTAAGTAAATGCTGATCTTGCAACAAGCGTGCATAGTTGTCACCACCGCCAAGGCTGACCCAGTTACGACCAGATTGTTACATTTCTTCATTTTCAGTTTCTGTTCTTGGTATAAACAGTCCAAATATGGTTACAAGTAAATGTTGATCTTGCAACAAGCGTGTATAGTTCCCCCCCCCGCCAAGGCTGACCCAATTACGACCGGATTGTTAGATTATCAGTCGAATCAGATCAATTATTTTATTTAAAAAATATTATATCAGAATTTTTTTTAAAATCAGATCTATGTCTAGTTTAATTATTTCATTAGTAACTCTTTTTTACAACCTCTGTTTACATTTAAATCTACTTGCCTAGCAACCCCTGGCTAGTAAACATGATTTTTTTTGGAAAAATCTTTATCACAACAATATAAGATCACACATCATAAATAATTAAGAAAAAAACTGATAAATCTTCATCCATAAATAAAAAAAATTTATAAAATAAAATTCTTAGATAAGAAAATAAAAACGATAGCGTAACGACGTCAAAAACTCAACACTAAGAAGCATGTTTTCTGCTTGTTTCTTCTGTGTAGGTGTTGATGATCACCTAATTGATAAGATATTGGATCCATCACACCTCGATGGAGGTTCCCATCCATTCAGCAGTCTTCGAGGAATTTTGAAGAGTTCAGGGACTTCAGCAGTTGCTTGGGTTGGTGAGGCCAGGGTTGCTTACAAACAGTGACATAATCTTGTCACAAATGCGTTAGTGTTTAGTTTCTGGTAAGGTAGTTATGCATTTTCTGTGTTTTATTTGTTTTAACTTGAAATCATGGGCATTGATTGATCTGGTTTTCCATTTACCAACAGGTACTGGGACCAGCTAGGTATGGCATCATCATATGATTCAAGAAAATGTCATCGACAGACATTGATTAGTGGAAATTATGGCCTACTAAACACTGTCGCATCTTTCCCGAATCCTGATTATTGCAGGTAATTATTGAGCTTCAGAAGTAAATTAAATGAATCTGCTGTTAATGCTGTTGTTAACGTTGCTATTTCAATCCATCAGTGCTCTTCTGTGGCACCGTTTGATGGGAAGAAATGTCCAGTCGACAACTTTCTCTGGGACGAACAAAATATGCGCTTATGCTCATTGTGCAATAGCATCGGTAAGCAGATCCATAAAACTTGGATTAGCAAACAAAATCTCATATATAATGCATTCTGTTCTAGTCATTACAGCAAGGAATTACATCGCTGTTGATCAACCTCGACGGAAACACACCATTAAAGTCCACGTTTCAGCTGAAAATGTTGCCAGCAATTGAACTGTGGCAATTCAACAACAAGAAGCACGAAGAGCAAAGTTTTCTAGGATGTCTAGATGTTCACTTTTCAGAAACTTACTTTCTATAATGGGCGTGTGTTGCAGGCTTGACCACTAAAAATTGAAAGTGCGAGGGCTAGTTTGCCTAGAATAAAAGCGCAGGATTTGCTGTGACCAATTTCTAAAACTCAAGGGATCAGTGATGAACTTACCCGTTAATTCTCCCTTATCTATTGTCGGCTGGGCCTTCTAGTCTTCTGGTTTCCTCTTCCATTGCTTCCTCTAACTATTGGGCCAATAAAACTTATCTTACCAAAATACAGTCCTGCACTCACTTGTTAGGATTATGTTCCATTGAATAATAAGTGAGTCTCCTTTGTGGATTTCACTGGATGTTTATATGAATTTTGAATTTCAATTTTAGGGAAGATTTTCAAGTGAAATCAATGTTCTTCTTATTGGGTTTTGACTGTATAACGTGTTGTGATTTATCCTAAATATATATATATATATATGCGGGTATAGATATCCATCAAATCACAATATATTTTATCCACTTATCTTTCTAAATACATTCAATATTATTGCCCATTTATATTCCGATTATATATATATATATATATATGTATATGGAAACGAGATAAATGCTTTATTGGAGAAGTTTTGATATGAATCTTGGAAGGTTTCAACGTATCTGTCTCATTTGATATCATATGCATGTACTGTTTAGATATTTAAGAAAATTAAATTATTTTTTTAATGTAAAACTCGCAATATTTAAGATATATAATAAGGTTACCAGACTGGCCAAAAATCTCCCTGACAATAAATGACATGGCCAACCTGTAAATAATCACGGAGCAATTAATATGTTTTTTTTCAGTGTATACTTGGAAAGATTTTCCATGGATTTACTTGTTTTTTAAACACTGCCCTTCCTAAAATGCTAGATTCGGTCTTAATTAATATCCAACAAATACTTAATGACTTGGTCTTATGAGGTACTGGTGCTAGATTACAGTACGGGGATGGATTTTTACTCGCAAGAGTAGCTTTTAAGGCTATTAAATTTAGATTTTAAGGATGCTTAGAGTGTTAATGAGTTGAAGGGTGATTGTTAATATTAAATTTTATCCTTTAAAAATATAAATTTGTCGAAAAACTAAAAACAGTAATAATTTAAAATCACATTATTCATAATTTACACTTATTAATTGAAACATAATCATCTTGTATAAATAAATAGTACGAGATATTTATCTATAAATCACTTTCTTAAAATTCAAGAAGCACCTAGAGTTGATAATTACCCTATTAATATCTATCTCGAAAATAAAATAATCAGACTGGGGTAATTTTTAAGCCTATTACCCTCCGAGCAAGTTCCCTCAATAATCATAAATCGAGTAGCATTCTCTTCTTATGTTTATCCAGCAACATTTTCGAAACACCTGTTCGACCTATTTAAGATTACCTTCCTAGAATGCCATGCCAGACATAAATAATATCCGAACCGAAAACTTAGAGCTTGAAGGTGTTGTTTGTTTTTATAGTTTAATTATGTTTTTTAAATTTTTTTATTAGGTGTTTTTTAATTGTTATATGTGTTAATGTTAAAAATAAAAAAATATTATTTTTATATATTTTTAAATAAAAAATATTTTTAAAAACAATTTTTATCATAATTTTAAACACACTCAAAAACAAAAACATTATATTGATATATAATTTTTAGAATTGATAATTTAGTTTTAACACATTGACTATAAATATGAATTGAACTAAATAGGGTAGGGTTTTTTTATTTAAAAAAAGCTAGCTTACTTGATGAATGAGGAATAAAGTATGAATATTATTATGCTCGATTTAAAATCTTTTATATATATATATATATATATATATATATATTCTTGACTGGCTAGCCTTACATCCTTTTTAAATAATAAAATTAGTCTTGATCGGGCTGCTCGTTTCAATAAATATGTTTTTTAAAAATTAAACTTTTGTTTTTATTTTTGTAGAGATACAATGGTATTTTAACTGTTAAATTAATACTTTATTGGTATCTGTAAATATATATTTATACTCTTTATATATTATTTGTTGCATAATAAATAATAATAATAAGATAATAAATATATGTTTAGATAGTCAGAACCCGAAAAATTCGAATACAGAGAAGCCTAGCCTTTAATGCCGTTGTCCCCGTAATGATTTCCAAGTATAAAAACTCTCGGGAGGAGGTCGTTCCATCACCGAACACTTGAAACATTTTTCGGCCATGGCCTGCATTAAGAAATGAGATGAAAAGTCATCAAACTGACAAAGAAACAGAAGAAAGACGAAGAAACCCTCAAAAAGGTTTCAACTTGGCGCTCCTTCGTCCCTCCAATATCCAAATCCAAAACACACAACCAAATCTCTCTCCCGCACCATCCAGAGAGAGATAATCAAATCACATATCAAAACAAGAAACGACTGTTCTTTTGTAGAGGTCTATAATACTAAGAAGCTTTTTTTTTTTTTCTTACAGAGAATAGTTTTGCAGCCATGGCAGTCACTTCAAGTCCTGCTGATTTGAATGGAAAAGAAGTTGTAGAGAAGAGTCAGGCAAAGTGTCCGGGAGTTCGTGTTGTTGGAGGGAGGATCTATGATTCTCAAAACGGGAAGACCTGCCATCAAGTAATGAGTAATTCTTTTGATAGAATTTTAGATGATAAGTGGACCCTTTGTTTTTCGTTTTTTTCCCTTCCTGTTTGGTTGGTGAGAACATGCAAGAAAATGAAAGAAACCTAAATTTCAAGTTTCAGTTCTTTTTTTATCCGGGCTGATTGAAAGAGAACCCATGAATTTACTCTTCATGATCTCTTTGTTGATAGAACTTTAGGTAATAAGTAAACCCGTTTCGTGGGGTTCTCTTTGGTTGACGAGAAGATGCATGAAAATGAAAGAAACCTAAGTTTTAGTTTTAGCGATTAACCTTTTTTTTTTGTGGTTGATTTGAAGAGAACCCGTGAGTTTACCTAGTATGATTTTTTTGTTGATTCAATTTTATATGACAAGTAAACCCTATTTGTGTTTTTCTGTTTGGTTGATGAGAACGTGCTGGAAAACGAAGGAAAACCTAAACTTCTAGTCTCATTTTTTTGTTTTTGTCTTATTTAACAATGTCCTATCATTACTCTTGTGATCTATTTATCTCTTAGTAGTACACATGCAAAATTATGCTCCTTTTTGCTCTATTTGTACTTGTGATTATGATGCTGGTTGATGATAAGTTAAAAAGGAAAGTGGAATCTGGGATCTTTGTTTTATGATGTTAAGAGCATTTGTTCTGTCTAGTAGCATTAATTTTGTTTTTCCATATGAAAGTGAATCAAGAATTTGATTTAGTATTGTAATTATTTTTAAATTGTTGGTGGCAGTAGAATTGATGCGTTCAGTGGTCTTTTTTCTATATTTGTTCTCATTTTAATTGATATTTTTCTTCTTTCGGTCCTTGTTTGTTTGTAATCTTCAAAGTGCCGACAAAAAACAATGGATTTCATTGCCGCATGTACTACTCAGAAAGGAAATAAACTATGCACTCTCAAGTTCTGCCACAAATGCCTATTGAACAGGTTAGTTTGTGACGTAAGTCTCGAATAACAAACTTTATCAAACAATTCAGGAGGTTTTTGCATGTGAGTGTTTGCTCAATACATGTTGCTTTGTGATGTTTTAGATACGGAGAGAAAGCAGAAGAGGTAGCTTTGTTGGATGACTGGCAGTGTCCCAAGTGTAGGGGCATTTGCAACTGTAGCTTCTGCATGTAAGTACATTATGTTTGAAGTCTAGTGATGATATTATTGAATATGACCAGTCTTCTCAGTGGATCTAATAGAATAATGTGTTTCCAGGAAGAGACGAGGTCACAAGCCCACTGGCATACTTGTTCGCACAGCCAAGGAAAATGGGTTCTCCTCTGTCTCAGAACTGCTGCAGGTTAAAGGTTCTGAAAATTTGAACCACTACAAGGATGTAAAAGACAACAATGTTTCACTGAAGAGTAGTGCATTGTCAGAGGAGGTTTGGAAGTGTTTAGTTATAATGTTCTTGCATTATGATTGTTAGGCTGTTTCATTCATGGGATTTTTGACTTGCCACGTGTATACGTCAATTGATGCTTTGACAGGAGTCTACAGTTACTTTGCCACGGAAATCAGGGAATGAAGATTCTTTTGAAGAAGACATTGATATGAATTTGCATTCTCAGAATTTAACACCCATCTCTTTTGGGAAGAAATCTAATAAAACAAAAAGGAAAGGACCAGAGGAAGTTAGTGATGGCAACATGGATGCTGAAACTAGGTTAAAGGAGAGTGGTCAGAAGAAATCAAAAAAGGAAGGGACTAAGGAAGTTAGTAATGGCGGTAGGAATGGTGAAGCTGGTTCAAAGGCTAGAATTACTGCAGAGGTTTCTGAAAACAAAGCGAAGACCAATGACAAGGATAAATGTGATGTTGTCAAGGACAAGAATGAAGATGCTTTTGTGGAGAAAAAGAGGTCTAAGACACAGGCTCAAGAGTTTTCCAACAATGAAGTTTTACTCGGTACAAATTATTATGGTGGTATAGTTTGTGGTGTTAGAAATGACAGAATTCGAACCGAGACCAAGAAGGATGGAGACTCATGCAAAGTTAACAAGTTTCCTTCAGAATTTCAAACCAAATCAAAGACAGCCAATGAGAGGCGGCTTACCACAGAAATTCAGAACAAAGAAATTGATGCGGACATTAAGTTACCTCAGGGAACCTGCTTAATGGCTGTAGCAGGTTTTGAGTTGCCTCCTGAAGATGTCGGTAATGCATTGCAATTCTTGGAGTTTTGTGCTAGTTTTGGTAAGGTATGAATAAATGGGTATATTACTATTTAACCAAATGAAGCATCGTGAATTTACTTGCTTATGATTGCAAATGGTACTTTAAAGATGGTTGGACTTATATTTAAGCATGGCTCGACAGTGAACTTCTGTTTAAGTATGGCCTATAGTGTAACTTCCTTTTCAGCATGGTCTTAGTGAACTTCTATAAAGTGATATAGCTTGAGGTGAATTCTTGTGTTGTAGATTTAGAAACCATAAAATTCCATATACCTTTCATTTATTGTCAAACTATTATTTCTTGGTTTTGTTTTAGTATCATTGACAAATTTTATAAAGTTTAATTACATAAAGGGCTGGTGTTTCTGTATTGTGTTTCCATTTTCCCTGCTCAATTATTCAGGACTCTTTTGACTATCCTTTTTTGTTTCCCGCTTAATTAGGTTCTTGGTCTGAAGAAAGGGCAAGCTGATACTATACTTGGAGAAATTGTAAATGGTCATAGAGAGCGTCGGTCACAATCCTATCACCTAGCCCAGATTCATGTTCAGTTACTATCAGTGATACAAAAGGATATAGGAGAAGAGTATGTAATCTCATACTTTGTCAAATTCTTCTTAACCACTTTAGCTTCGTGTAGAGACAGAATAATGATAATTTTGTGATGTTTTGTTCAGATCTCCCACCCTAACTGCAACAAATGACAACTCATGGTTTAAAGCTCTCAGTAAATGTGTCTCGAAATGCCTTTTCATAGCGAAAGAAATTCTCTCTGGCAGTTTTGACCTGGACAATGAAGGATATGATAACTTAAAGAGCTCTGAAAAGCTTAAACTCTTGAATTTTCTATGTGATGAAGCTCTTAATACCAGGTAAGTGACAAAAAGAATGTGGAAATGGTTTGGTTCTTACAATTATCAATCTGTCTTACAATTATCAATCTGTGTTGAGAAAACTTTTTAATATTTTATTTTGATTGTTTATAAATATATTTTCTAGAGAGTTGAGGAGTTGGATTGATGATGAAAACTCCAAATTTCTTGAAAGAAAGAAGGGAGCTAAGGAAAAAGTTTATGCAGCAAAGGAAAAGGTTTATACTCATTGTAAATGGTGATGTTGGGCTTTTCAGTGGTGTTGATGAATCCAAGATTTATTTGCAAATTAATTATTTTCCCATATTTGTTTGGTACAGGAAAAAAACTTGAAAAGGAAGATGCAAGATGAGGTGGCCAAAGCTATTATTGAGAAAAACGGTGCTCCCAATTCTGTTTCTAATCATAAAGAACTAGTCTCACAAATAAAAAGTGAAGCCGCACAAGCTCATGCAGAAATGCTTGAGGCCATGGGCATGGCACAAAAGAGTAAGTTCATCTTTACCTTTGAAGTTAATGTAATTACATAAAAAAAGTTTGCTTTGTTTTTTTAGATAATGTTAGATATTGTGGGCTTAAATGATTTGGTATTCTTTGGGTTTGTGGCACTATACTAAATTGTTGTTACTTTGGCCATGGAGATTCGGTGCCAGAATCAAGATCAGACAAGGGATGATGGTGTCGCTTTCCATTTATTCGCTTAACTATTTTTTTGTCAAAGACTATTACTATTAGATAAGAACTATATGACAAGACTAGTCAAAGAGAATGCCTTTAAATTTTGAGAAGAAAGACATTAACAGGAAACTGAAGAATCCGTGATCAATTTTTTTTTCTTCGAAACTTATGTTGCATGCTTGCTGCTAGGATTGGTTATGTTTGTCTTGTGTAGAAATATGTTGTTCTTTTTTGATATTACATGCATTTTAATGTATAATATGTGAACATACATGTTTAAACTTTACCTGCAATGATCAGAGAGACTATCCAACGCTGTCAGAACAGACCCTGTCCTTCTGGATGTTGATGGCCGTGCTTTCTGGAAACTAAATGGTCATGATTGTCAGTCAGCTATTTTGCTTCAAGGTTAGGATGCTTGGCTTGTTTTCATTTCAGTAGACGATGAAATAAACATGTTGCATATCATTATTTATTTTTCTTGTACAGATATGGGTGCATGGAATTCTGTTGCACCCAGTGAAAAATGGGTAGCATATGCTGATGAACAGAAAATGGACATTGAAAAATACATCTCTTTCTCGAGGTAGTTACATTGATTAATATATCTTTTGCACCATGAAGTTTTCTGTACAATTTTTTTTTAACCTTCTTAGCCCTCATGTTTTTCCATTATAGAAGGAGAACTTGTCGAGGATGGGAAAACTTATAACCAGTGGGAAAGTTGCTAATCACTTACCTTTACAAATTTGATTTTGGTTTAAGGCGGGTACATTATGCTCCCAAGCATGTAACTTAAATCACTCAAGCATTCTGGGATGATTGATATTAAAATTACTTGAAAGAAAGGCAATTTATGAAGGGGGAGACGTGCTAATGTCATATGAATTTTCATCTCTAACATGTAATTGTAAGGACTTTATTTATGATGTTGTAATAAGAAAAAATAAAAAAATGCTGGCCCCTTTTGATTTAAAATTAAACTAAACGAGATTCCATTTGGTTCTGTTCATGTGACAGAATTGAAATGCACAATAACTTCTTGTTAGGATGCATGTTTGAGCTATTGGCACAATGGTGCCTTCTCATTTGTGTTTTTCTTTAGGGATCTGATGCTATTGTATATATGGGTTTATACATTAGTATTTCTTAGAAGTATTCGGTGCAGAAAAAAGTCAACTATGTTCTTGAAGGGCATTGCTGTCGCCTATAACTGATATACTCGTTCTCTTTATCACATATTTTCTTTCCTTTCCTTTTTGGCTGACATGCTTAACCATGTTAAGCTCTTTCGTTTTCAGGGCAAAAATGTGTAGGGTTCAACAAAAAGCTATTGAAACCCCTTCAATTGAAATTGATACTGGAACCTCTTCAATTGATATTTGATGAAACAAAGTCGGAATGATTTTCTGATGTCCATCGTCTGACAAAAAAAAAATTGAGGTAAGAAGAGAGTCAACGACAGAAGTTATGGAAAAACTGCATTGAGTTACTCAAAATCGTTTACTACGTGTTAGATTAGACTATTATTATTTTTTTACCCTTGTTTGCTTGCATGCAATGATATGCAAAGCCAAGGCAACCTGTCCCCTCCAGCTTTCCTACTGCATTGCATCTTTAGGTATGAATTTTGATTGGATCTCAGGGTTTTTGGGATGAAATCATGTAATGTTGACCAAGTATAGATCACTACCTCTATTAAATAAATGCAGTGGCTTCATGATGTGCATATGTTTATGTTGTTTTAAGCTATAAAATCTGCATATCCAAGTGCTCCATGATTGCACCAATGCCTTCCGCTGGTCGGAGCAGCCTGCATGGTAAATGCTTGCTCTTAGTTTAAACTCGTTTTGAGAAAACTTGTTTGTAACGGCCAATTACTATATTTTGTCTTTTGAATTTTTGGAAACAGATCAAGTGGAAAATACAGAGGTTCGGTTGCTTCATGGTCAATAGCACCTGAAGTTATTGACAACTTCTATTTAACATTTGTTGCTTGCTCGAGATAAAGATGAAAGATCATTCTTTTAGAGGAAAAACTGCTGCTGTATGCGATCCTCCTTGCAAAGGTTATTTCCTTATGTACACTATTGTTAGGGGCAAGCTTTACAAATACTAGGCTTGCTGCTTCCTTGATTTCTTGCTTGGGAACTGCAATTGTAGTAGCTGGATACATTGTAATAAAAAGGAATTCCTCAAATATATTTATTTGATTTGCTTTCTTGTACAGATTTTAAATCATTAAATATCATACCAGCACTTCAATTTATTGTGCAAAACATATTTCTATATTTTTAGTTTTCTCGTGTGATCCTTCAAATCGTGAAATATTTAAAATACTAAAACCTTGAGGTTTTCTCATCTATATCATCACAACTCAGAAACTGAATATGAATAAAAATTAAAAGAATGTAGATTATGGATATGGATGTTTTTTTCAAGAGCTACATAAATTATTAAGCTGACAAAATTTATATTGATTGCCAATATTTTTCTTCTTTAAATTCATCCGAAAACTTTAATTAAATAATATATTTCAACAAGTAATCAAAGTAAGATGAATTAACAATCACCTAAATCATAATTAAGTATTATTATGCTAGACAATGGCACGTAGTAAGTTCATCACACGAATAAAATCATAAGCACAACATGAGTTTTCTATGTAAAAAAAAGAAGAAGAAAGTATAACATGAATTTTATTGTCTTCGTTCAATACACAAGATGAATACTTAGATATCACGGGACCAATTTTCTTGTCTTCTCTTCATTTAAGCAAGTTTGTCTTATGAACAATTAGAGGATACTAAAATAATTAATTCAATCTATCTCTTTCTCTTATCTTAAATTCTCTTTCGATAATTTCTTTCAACAATAAATAAATTGATGAGGTTTACATTTCAGTATATATATTTGGTTTAAGAAATGGTATTGGGTGGATGGTGAAAACAACATTTTTATATGAAATTTTATCAGCAATATATTTAAATCGAAAATGATGAGGTTCATATTAAAACCAAGATGCACGAGATATCAACCAAAAAAAGAGAAAAATTTGAACACTTGTATGAATTAAATTAATATATTGCCACCCGCTGCGCAATTTTTTATCTCTAAGAAAACATAAGAGGACCAAGACAACCAAATTAATTTTTATAGAATAAAGGATGTTTAACTCCGGCATTTGCTCCTTAATTACAAAGTGATCTTTTTAGAAGGGATGGAAAACTCGAATGATACAGCATAATCATCTATAAGAGGAAATAAATGATGAGTTCACAAACTGCAAAGCCAATATTGAAATATGCACTTTGCCTGTGTTAATCCTAAAAGAATGTTGCTAATCTCTGCACCTAACAAGAATTATCCAACGAATGCTACACGGGTCTTGATGAAGACGGATATGACATGCGAGATACAGTGTCATATCTCACTCAATGCGCCATTAAACAAACGTTAAAGAGCAAGTTTGATCAGTATATATGAAATGGAAGCCTACCTCTCTGATCAAGCCAGGGAACAAACCTTGTCTGCAAATGATAGGTGAGATGTTTGCGGTTAGTACAAGTTGAAAGACAATCAGTAAACTAGTAGATGAAAGTTAGCTTGTAAGTTTATGGAACAGTTAAAGTCAAATTCACTCATGGGGGAGGGGCAAGGAAGAGTGAGCTTAAAAAGAGCCCAACACTTTAAAGAATCTATCATGTGTGGCAGAAAAGAAGTATCACTTGATAATTACAAGTGTTTCTTTTTTTCTCTTTTCTATACATACTTTTCTACTATCAAGTCTAGAGACTACAGTTCAACACAGAAAAGAAAGGATGAACTCTAAAAAGAGAAGAGAAAAAAGAAAAAAAAAGCTTGAGAAAAATAAGCGCACTTCTATCAAAAGCCATCTCAGAAAATGCTTACCTTGTTTAATGCTACTGCAGCAAAGACAGTTGTCGTCTATATAGGTTGCTTGGACACCCATCATCCAAGATCCCACTGATGTATCGTCATGAGCATAACTCTTAAGAGATGCACTGCATATAACAAGGACCCAGAATTAGTCTGGAACTGATGCAAAGGGTGATGGAATCTGCATTAACTTGAGTAAAATTCTGCACAGGTGACTAACACAATGATGAACTACCCGACCAACAGAACTTGTAATAAGAACTAAGCAGCTTCCTTTCCATTACGTCTATCTGAAATCTGGTTCTTATGTATCACTACTATGTAAACATATTCCTCGTCAACTTCAGAAAAGCATGCTGGGTAACTTACTTCCATCCAGTTCCATCCAGTTCATTTAAAGCTCAAAGACCTTGGTACAATGAGGAGATGGCGGGTTTCCAATTCCTCAGCTTCGCACATATATCTGCTAATTTAGTCGAAGTATCTAATCTAGTATTGACCCAGAGTTCTTATCATCAACCAAACTACATTGAGTCAACACTTCCAAACTAACCTAAACTTATCCTCGCATCAAAAATTTAAAAGATGAATTCACACTTCAACTTTTCCTATTATAGCATGGTTCTTTTCACTAACTATAAGGTCACACTTGTTTCATAGGTTGGGCTGTTCACTTCCAAATTCAATGACTAGGATTTCTGTTGAAACCAGCTTTGAATTTTAGGAAACATGACAATTTAACAGCAAAAAATACATCTACCAAATCATTTAGTGTCCCAAGACAACTGGACAGAAAGGACATGCAGAAGGGACAAGAAAGTGTTTGGTTAAAGGGCAGAGATAAAGACATAAAATAAATTCATATATGGGACAGTTTTGGGGTGAGTTTTATGCCTTTCAAATCAAGAGTGTCCCCTCTATTTCCACTATCTCTGTCTCTTTTATCTTGAGAGTAACCAAACGCTACTTAGAAGAACCTCCAAAAGCACCAATAATTGACATGGAAGGATGACCATGCTTTAACATTCAAATTCCAAGATGTCAAGGATTTATGATAAATTCTAGCAAACCTTGCTCTAGAAATCAGCATAAAAGCATATGAAATATGCATTACATTTTTTTCAGACTTTTCTTAAAAACTACAGCATAACAGCATAGACCTCTCTTATCCTAGCTCAAAAGCTTTCTTGTAAGGTAGATGTCAGCATACCAGTTCCTGAATTGCATGCTATCCTCAAGTACTGTCCACAGAAGTTTGTACATCCAACTCTATAATTAATTTATAAATTTTTCCTCTTTAAAAAAAACTCAGCTACTGGAATTTCCTTTCCTCAGTATCTTAAAATCCCCATAATTGATAATTCACACATACACAAACTTGTACACAGACTCATGAAAACAAATGCTCAAGAGGACATTATAGATCTTAACATACTCAAAAGATCAATGAAGCTCAACAACACAAGATTGAAAGGAAATGATCTTTTTAGGAAACATCTGGTAGGTGCATTTTGCTGGCTAATGAAAACATAATATAGAAATCTGATTCAATGTAAGGCAAGAACCATTCATCATGATGAACTATTAGTTTAGCAATTCCAATGATTAGGCAAGTAATGGGTGTCATTGTTCAGATGTTGACAAGATTGACCTAAAAATAACTTCCATGTTATGCAAAAACTACTTAATATTTGCCACATGAATTTGCAGCATAGAGAAATAAAAATTTACATTACCTTTTCACCTTGACAAACTTCAAGTAAGCCTAGATACTTCTTCAGAACAAGACTGTTATCTAATATCAAGCTGTGGTTCCCGCATCTGCAACGAAACCTTTCTCTCTCATTTCACCAATAAGTTGCACTGCCCTTGATTCATCCTTGTGCTGGAGAAATCCTCGGATGATAACATTATAAGAAAATTCATTCGGAGGGCAGCCATCCTCTTCCATATTTCGAAAAGCTTCCAATGCTTCATCTAACAATCCTTCTTTACAAAGTCCATTTATTATTGTAGTGTATATCTGAACATTAGGCTGCAACCCTTGGACAAAGAGTTCTGAAAATAGTTTCCTTGCTTCTTTAAGATTCCCGGATTTGCATATGGCATCAATCAGGATGTTATACATCACCATATTAGGCTTCAAATAAGTACTTTGCATTGCTCGAAATAGTCTAAATGCCTTAGCAAGGTACCCTTGTTTGCAAAAGCCATCAAGCAATATTGCGTAAGTACATAAATCTGGGAGGTTGCCATTAGTGAGCATATTCTTGAACAGATTGTGTGCTTCCCTAAGTCTGCCTAATTGGCACAAGCCATCAATAAGAGTGTTGTAACTAACAATGTCCGGAGTTAAGCCTTGATGAATCATTTCATTAAAAAGCTGCTTGGCTTCACCTATCCTTTTGGCCTTACAATATCCATTAATTAAGATGTTATAACTAAAAACATCAGGTTTACAACCCTTGGTTATCATGACATCAAAAAGCTTTCTAGCTTCAACAACTTCAGCCTGCAAGGAATATCCATTCATCAACGAACTGTAAGTAACAACATTAGGCTCCACACCCATTTCAGTCATTGTTTTTAGCACACCTTGAGCCTCAAAAACATTGCCTTCTTTACAAAATATATTAATCAACAGGCTGAAGGTGACAATATTTGGCATGATATTCAAACTCATCATTTCATTTAGCACTGCTGAAACCTCCCTCCATCGGCTGAAATTGCATAAGCCTTGGATCAAAGAGTTGTAAGTGAAAATATTAGGGGAAATGCCTTTAGCCTTCATATAGGAGAAGATATCTAAAGCCTCATTCACCCGCCTATCTTTGCAAAGACTGTCAATGATCGTAGAGTATGTCACCACATCAGGCTGGCAGCCTGCTTCTCCCATTTTCTTAAACAATCCAGCAGCCGCAGCAGTTTCGCCAATCTTACATAAACCATTGATAATTGTAGTATAGGTGTGGACATCAGGTTGACACCCTCTTGCCACCATGTCGTCAAATAATTCCACGGCTTGGCCAAATTTACCCACTTTACAGAGCCCATTGATTAAGGTGTTAAATGTGACAATAGTGAGTTGAAGACCAAGTTTAATGATTTTGGCCAAGACAGAGAACCCAAGATCAACACGTTGTAACTGGAAGAAGCAATTAATCAACATATGAAGGGTATAAGTATCAGGAGAGAGCCCAGCCAATTCCATTTGCTTGGAAAGATAAATCACAGCATCGTGATAGTGTCCCATTTTGACAATTGCAGACAATAATTTATTGAATTGGATAATACAAGGCCGGGGTTTCCTATGAAGCATGTGATTGAAA